CGGCAAGCAATACAAAAAAACACGTCTATCTACGAATAAGTTTGTCTTATTAAACGATATTCTTTATACACATTGTTTCTTCAGCCCACGTTTTTGATTCACCCAAATTCTAGGAAAAACTAGGCCCGGCAATCAGGCATGTGAACTGGCCGAAGACGCTGAGTGCTGGATGCGCCCTCGTTGTTTACGTCGGTGCTGTGTAGAGCAAGGCGGGTTTGAAGAATAATCGAATTCAAGGGCTATTCAACATGCTGAGGTGTGTAAGCCCTGTAAGCTCTGTAAACACTGTAAGTAAGCTCTGTAAGTGCTGCATACCTATAAGCAGGAAGGCTACAAGGATATAGGAGCTTGTTTTGTCGCGTCTACTTCAGACATGCCAACGAACCATCGAATGTTTTTCAATGTTTTGAAAAGTTTTGAAGTAAGAGGTCTGGCATTACGCTTGTCCATAAAATCATGACCATGATTTTAGCCAGCCAACCACAATTGTATCAAATTATGCGTCTTTACAAGCATGTTTGTTTAAAAAAATTACGAAACATTTCTGTCTGAAAATCTGCTGATAACAAGGGTGTGGGTGGAAAAAAGCGATTGCACGGGAGTTCTCCCGTTTTTCGCATGGATCCGTCTGACCCTTTTCCATGCTGACATTAGCTGATAATATCCATACGCCTGCGACCACAGTGATTCAACAATGAGAGCGCGTATCCATGGATTTTTAGATGCTTGGGGCACGCAAAGTTGGCACAAAGAGGCGCATATGCAGACAGCATTGCTTGATTGATTTGCCTGCTTAGTCGATCACCACTCTGCTGTTTAACGAGACCTACGATGCGAAGCAAGCACACGATTACGTGCTTGTTACGCAAAGTGTCATTTGGGCATTTTTTCACGAAGCGTCTGATATCCATCGTATCATATCCATGTAGACATGATCGTGCCAGTAACGCCTGCTGACACGCGCTAGGACGCAAACCATTTATGATCTACGAAAGATAGAAAAAGTCGTATGCAAGGCCTGATAAAGGATAGATGAGTGGAAGTTTGATAAAGGATAAATGTGACCTTAATGCCTCTTGTATTATCAAATCCAGAATGAGAACATAATGCATGTTCCCTGCTGTCAAGAGCATTTTCTCGTTCTCTGCATATGTGCCAAAACAGTGGATAAAAGCCGTTTTCACAGGCTTCGGTGCGAAGCATTTTAAAAAGCGTAGCTTTTTCATAGGCTGTACTTTAAAAACGCTACTTTTATGAGCCTTTTCGGTTAACAATGCGTCCCGGAGATTTTTAAACATGTTTGTAAAAACGTATACATTGAAAAGATTGTGGTTCACTACTAATAGGCAAAATCATGATTGAACGGGGAGTTAAGATGCAGCATTTCTCCCTACTGAAACTTTCCAGACTTCTTAAAACGATTCAGTGGCATGTCTAACACACATGCGATAAAACATTCTTATATCCTGGCTGCCTCCTTACTAATAAGTATGTAGTACATGCGCAGAGCTTTTTACATATCCCCCTATGCATGATCTAGGGGTGAGAAAAGTGCCTTTTTGTCACCGAAGAAATTTGAAGCCGTCCAAATTGTCACCTGGACCCGAATCTTTAAAATACCATTGCAATATAACTAGAAATACAAAAAAAAACACAAAGCAAAGGCAAATTTATGGCAATGCGGCATAACCATCAAATATTTTTGTTTCGGGAGCTCATTTGAACTCAAGTATCATTTGCTTGCCATCAAGCACTGAATGATGGTTGAGACTTGACTAATAAAATCATCAGACAAAGGCATATTTAACGAACCAACTTGGAGGCGTGTAGTTTTCTATTCACATAGGGAGAGAAAATTGTGCCTCCTAACCAACGACGAAGCTTCTTTTTTGTTTATCACGTTTAATCATTATTCTTCATTTGTCGCAATTTTTGGTGTTTAGCTCCATAACTAATTTCGAGAAACCACACCCCGGGTCCCAACTGTGAAAAGAAAGTGCGCCAAATCTGTGGCAAAAACTGTTTTGGATGCATGTTGGCGGCAGACTCAGTCATTTTTCCTTGCCCCACCCTCAGTCCCTGAGCCTTACTGTGTGGCAAAAGTGCATCCCTGTAGCCCCATCTATTTCCCGGCAATACGGTTTTACAAGTACCTGATAACAATATCACCTTTTGTTTTCTGACGGCACGGTACAATCTGCTGAGCGCGCAGGCGACCCTCACTATCTTCGCACAACCATTGCCGGTGCAGAATGCACACTTCCTAACATGGTCCCAATGACTTAGAGCGAAACCCATACAACACTGGTATCAGCAGATGCAAACATTTTTCAAGACCTCGACCACCTTCATTCAACTTTTTATGCAGTATGATGAAAATGAAGCGTTTTATCTCACGTCTCTCCACCGATCAGTACGCTAAGGCAGGGATGCAACGGGCAATGTGATAGGCCTACAACAGTGATGCTCAGTCTCTTACCTCAAAGCCGCTGTTACTCTCAGCAGCACAAAGCCCCGGATAAGTCTTTAATATGTGTGGCTCCAGTGTCCTCCGTTAACCTCTGGAGCTACATCTCAAGTATCCACAAACAACAATCGTCCTAGATCGGCAGGGCTTTTTAACGCTATTACATTAAAAAGCTGACGATTAGCTACGTTCTTCTAGCCAGTCAGCTTCTCACATGAACACAGCCAACAACGACCCACAGCCTTGCACTGAACCCAACGCGTTACCACGTGGCGAGCAACCAAACCCATCTGTCTCAGTTCGCACGACGCTTTAAAACGCCGCGTAGCGAACTGATCACGCTCGTTACATGAGGCTGCGGCCAGCTTCTATCCTTACGACTAGTGATAAGCCTAGTTATTTGGTACTGTATACTATGAAGTATGTTAAGTGAACCTTGGTTGAAAAATCTGTCAAAAGTACTGACCTGAGAGGCATCTTAAAAACGCTCTGTCGGGGCTCATCTGTGACGGCAGCACTGATATGGTATCTTTTGTAGTATATTTTTAGCACCTGCTAAAAACTATCCTGATTAAAGCCACTATGTTTGGCAGCATATCATGGCCCAATTTACTCATGCAGCGATACGACAGCGTTTCGACATGTGTTCTACACGTGCTCTCGCTGCGAGTGTCAACGAGCACAGACCAATACTAAGCTTTGAGTTTCGTTTGGCTAGGATAGTAAGTTGTAACATGGTACGGTCTATTGAAATTTGTTCGCATTTTCGCAGTTTTGTCAGCAATTGGTCCGCAAAAGTGTCAATTTTTGTCACCGGTTATACTCGGTAAATCAGACGCTTCTTTCACCGCTGGCATGATCTATGAATTAGAGGATCCCTAAAGCACACCTTGTTCCACACGACGCCCACACCACACTAGTTAGCATGCTAGAGAAGGCCTTGTAACCAGCTGAAAACTCCTGAATCTCGTGTTATCGTTTGGAATGATGTGTCAAGCTGGCGTGTAACGAGTGGCATCAAATCTTAATCGCGAAGGTATTTGTGGAGACCGGCCTATGGAGAATATGGTAACAGCTATGTCTAATCTGGTAGCCCGATATGGAGAATATGGCAATAGCTCGCTTGGCGTCACATGCGTGGTTCTAGGCAGGTGTTGCAAACCATCATTTATTTCTATTGCGTGTTTTCCCTCGGTTACCGCTGTCCACAAGGAGGTGCAAGGGTTGCGATTGTTTGGTATGCTGAGGATCGTGCAGGGAATCCCAAACATTTTACGGTGTGATTTGAAGTAGAGCAGCGCTTGTTGTCGGCTTCCCGGAAAGCAGCACTGTGCACAACACCTCAGAGCCATTAATTTACTTAGAAAAGCCAGTATTTTCCCCAATATGGCCCCATGAATTTCACCATCACTGATAAGCCGCCTTCAGGGAAGCTAATCCGCACACATACGACGGCGTGGGATGTAGCGGTTTCGAGGTGAGCGCTGTTTATTCTGCTCCAGCCACCATGTTCTGTGATGAATATGGAAGCTTGTTGGGTGGCAGCGTCTTCGCTGGACAGCCTGGAGAAGCTACTGCAGACCAGACGCCGGTGAAGTCTGCATGATGTGCTCTCCTGATGGGGCAACAGGCATCAGCATTCTGACATTAATGCGCCATCGTACGTACCCAAGGCTGATCGAATTTGTGATATTTATTCGTGACACCTCGGCCCACGTTGCCATCCACTTCCAATCCAGCCGACCAACCTATCAACAAACCTACCAACCAATCAACCAACCAACCAACCAACCAACCAAATAATTGACCAAACAGCCAACCAACTAACCAACCAACCAGCCAGCCAGTCGGTCAACTAACCTACCTACCAGCCAACCAATCGGCCGCCCAACCAACCAACCAATCAACCAACCGCCCAACCGGCCGCCCAACCAACCAACCAACTAACCAGCCAACCAATCAACCAATTAACCAACCAACCAACAAACAAACAAACCAAATAACTAACCAACCAGCCAACTAACCAACAAACCAACCAACCAACCAACGAAATAACTAACCAACCAGCCAGACAACCAACCAACCAACCAACCAACCAACCAACCAACCAACCAACCAACCAATCAACCAACCGACCAACCGACCGACCAACAAACCAATCAACCAACGAAATAACTAACCAACAGCCAGCCAGCCAACCAACCAACCAACCAATCAATCAACCAACCGACCAACCGACCGACCAACCAACCAACCAATCAACCAACGAAATAACTAACCAACCAGACAGCCAACCAACCAGCCAACCAGCCACCCAGCCAACCAACTAACCAATCAGCCAGCCAGCCAGCCAGCCAGCCAGACCAACCAAGCATTCAGCATACTTGCAGCTAACAGTCAGCAGTCAACCCAACGCCCCATTATGTTGCAGCCTCGTGATATATTGACCTGGAGGTCCCTCTTCCATTCCGCAGTCGCATTTTTAACCGGAATAACGGTTTTGTCTCCGGTCAATGACGCGTCTCCGTGGCGATTACACTTCGTTCGAGGAGCTAATCTGAGAACTGTCCTCAAGAGGATTGTCCTCTGAACGGTGCCGGACAGGCGGCTGGGGCTGTGTGTCCTCAGTCTTGGCGAACGGCTGGAGCTCCGACTTCCAGAACAGCACGACCACGAGGTTCATGGCTACCATGAATACCACCGAGATGAGGAAGAAGTAGCGCCACTCTAGTAGAGTTTTCTGCAACATCAAGGCATGACGTCATAAGGTCACAGTTGGTTACAAGGGCCGGCGTTAGGGGCCATGCTATCGACGTCAAGGAGGTAGCGAGGGCTTTCTGGAAGGATTGCTGCGCTATGGTGTAACTTCATGTCTGTATTTCAGAGAATGTTTGAACTCAGCCAAACAACAATCATAAGCTTCCGTCAATGTTTCATCTGTTTAAGGTCATTGCTGAGCCGTCCCAAACCAACTCAGTGCAGACCTTAGCGTGTGTTTACTACAGTTCAAGTTAAATATATTGCACGCTATAACGTTGCTATTTACTAACGCAAATTGCGTTGAAGATTGTCATCCGGACAGACCCAGGGAAAGCTGAGAACAGCCAATATTTCCTTCCTCTTCCTCTCTTTCTGCTACAGCATGCTTTTCCTTGAGGCATCCAAGACTCGGTAAAAGTAAAAAGATTGCATGTGGCTTTAAACTGCCGGCTCTGGGATGTTGCCATTGCGGCCGTCAATACGGATGTCCATCATGAGATGACTGTGACGATATACAGCATGTACAAAGCCCACGGTAACTGTGGCTATGTACTTCACATGGGGCCGTAGAGCTTAACACGTGCCAAGGCGACCAGGTCCATACGACGCGCTCGGGTGGGGTGGGGTAGAGATAGAGGTGATTCGAACACCACACCTGAGATCTTCACAATTAAGAAAGCTAGAGATACCGACCTCACGGGATCTCTCTCTCTCTCTCTCTCTCTCTCTCTCTCTCTCTCGCTCAATTCAGCTCCTCTCTCTCTCTCCTCTCTCTCCTCTCTCTCTCTCTCTCTCTCTCTCTCTCTATCTCTCTCATCTCTCTCTATCTCTCTCTCTCCTCTCCCTCTCTCTCTCTCTCTCTCTTCTCTCTCTCTCTCCTCCTCTCTCGCTCTCTCTCTCTCTCTTCTGTCTCTCTCTCTCTCTCTCTCTCTCTCTATCTCTCTCTCTCTCTCTCTCTCTCTCTCTCTCTCTCTCTCTGCTTATATTATACATACATATATATATATATATATATATAGATCTATATAATTAATATATATATATAGTATATCATATATATATATATAATCTAGAAAGGGGGAGAGAGAGAGAGAGAAGGAGAGGGGAGAAAGAGAGGAGGAGATAGAGATAGATAGATAGAGAGGAGATCCTCTCTCTCTCTCTCTCTCTCTCTCCTCTCTCTCTTCTTCTCTCTCTCTCTCGCTCTTCTCTCTCTATCTCTCTCTCTCTCTCTCTTCTCTCTCTCTCTCTATCTCTCTCTCTCTGCTCTCTCTCTCTCTCTTCTCCTCTCTCTCTCTCTCTCTCTCTCTCTCTCTCTCTCTCTTCTCCCTCTCTCTGCTTATCTATACATATTAATATATATATATATATATATATATATATATATATATATATATATATATATATGAATGTAATTAGAGAGGGGGAGAGACGGGGAGGAGAGAGAGACAAGGAGAGAGAGAGAGACGAGCGGAGAGGAGAGAGGAGACGGAGATGAGAGAGGAGGAGCTGAGAGAGGAGAGAGAGAGAGAGAGAGGAGAGAGAGAGAGAGAGAGAGGAGAGAGAGAGGAGAGATGAGAGAGAGGATGCGAGAGAGAGAGAGAGAGGGAGAGACATTTCAAACATCGCAGGTCTTATCCAAACGGTGCCGAAACATTCGATCCAAGCTCCCCAGCGCACCTTTCCTACAGAATCCCAGGATCCCTTCATCCCTCACGCCCGCCCCCCCCCCCCAGCGCTGACGTACGTGCGGCGTCATGGCGGCCGCCACCATCGGCGTCAGCACGCCCGTCAGGTTGCCGATGGAGCCGGCCAGGCCCCAGATGACGCCGGCGAACTGCGGCCCCAGTTCAGGCCCTGCTGACAGCGGGCCTGGCGGCGGGCGCCACGCAGAGCCGTCAGTGGCCGTCACAGGTGGCGTTACGAGCGCAGGTGGGATGCATCAAGGGCGTAGCGTAGACCTCTAGAGAAGTGGGGTCTTGCATGCTCTGCGTTCTGCGAGGTCATACAAACTACGGCTGTGGTTTCATCTACCAATGTTGGCACGTAGCTTTTTTCGTCTGAGCTTGTAGCAAATTACTGCGAGGTAATTGGGAACAGTACCTACATCAGCAGCAGCAAATGCAGACGCTCTAGTATTCACGAGCAGCGTAAAACACATTCACGAATGGTTCTGATTAATGCACATAACTTTCTTACTTTCGGAGAACATTCAGGATGTATTTATCCGCAGAGACAATCTAAACCAATCTTGACTTCGGCGCAAAGAACAGGGAGGGGTCAGTTTACCTCCGGAGACCACCAGGACGCTAATACCATTGCTGACGCTGAGCAGAGCCATGGTGGTGTAAGTGCTGCCCGGAGGCAGGACGAGCATGACGCCCAGCAGTCCAGCCGGCACCAGCATGGCTGTTGGTACCAGACCAGGTCATATTAGGTCAGGTCCTGTCAGGCCAGGTCAAGTATGCTCGGGTTTGATGACATCCAGCGACAGTTTGATACAATACAATTACAACTTAATGTGATTTTATAAATCCGAGGTGGGACACTATGTGTGTCAAGTTACAGCGGTACTTGTGCTGTACGATGAGACCAATTAGGAGGATTTTCTTTATGAACACCAACGTACCGAAACTGGTGATAAGTTTTCGGACCACGGTGCGACTGAGCTGCCACCTAGTGATGAGATACTGAAGAAGCCGGCCACCGAACACAACTCCGACAGACATGGACATGGTGGGCAGGCCGGAGAGGAAGCCGTTCTGCGAAGCGGAAAGCGGTTATGACGTGCTACGTCACTGAACGATCACTTCGTCACTCAGACGCGGCATCAATCCCCCGTTGGCAGGCGTTGCTTGTGTAAGGAAAGGCGTATCCCATAACCCACGTCACGTGCGCCTCAGCCGTTGCAGCTTGGCTGCAATGCACGTAATGAATGCAATAAAATAAGTCAGTACTAACCCTGTTTGCAACAGGAGGCAGATTGCACAGTTTTCCCCACCACCCGTGCCTTTCGTGCCACTCCTGAGTGCCTTTCTGCCTTTCTTGCCTTCCTTGCCACTTCCTGCAGCGCCATGAACGTTGCAGGTTTCCATAAACTTAACACGCGCTCGGGTGGGGGGGGGGGGTCAAATTGACCCCTCCCAAAGGTTTGTCCAGAATGGTTTTCGAACGACGCGGCGTAAACGCGCCAACTTTGGGAAAGCTGTAGACAATGGAATAGCGGATCGTTTGGTATAAAAAATTTGGATGTGCCTCGTAAGGTCGCTGACCTATGACAGGTCAAAGTCGGGCCATGGTTTCAGCGAAGACAATTTCCAAGGAATCGTTTAATCTGATGCAACAACGGACCATTCATCTCTGAGACGCTTTCTTAGGCAACACAAATATTGCATGAACAAAATATGTTGACCTTACGTCAGGTATGAAGGTCAGACCAAGGTCAAGACCAACCTGTGTTATTTCTCTAGGGCTTGCTGTATGAAATAGTTTCTGGTGGTCATTTCGAATTTATTGATAGCAGGAACCGCATTATACAACTTCCATGCACTTCTTAGAGGTCAGAACAGATCACTGACTAAAATGACCCAGGTCAACCTTTTTGTTTTTAGAAACATGCTGCCTTGCATAATCTTTGTCGCTTATTCAAATGCAAAACTCAGAGCGGTCCTGCATGATTTTGATCACCATGACCTTCAAGAGATTAAGCAAAGTCACTGACCTTAAATGAGCGTAAGGCCCCTTGCTTAGAAATAGTTATTTAGGTTCTGGGAGCACTTTAGAGACCAACCTGGGATTTGAACTTGTTTGATCTTATTTGACCCGAAGGTTATGACCTAGGAACCTCAAACTTTGACCTAAGGAAGTTCACATACAAGTAAATACACCCTGTAAATTTGGTGTCTCTAGCTTTCTTAGCTCCCGAGATCTCAGGGGAGTGGGTCTAACTGACCCCCACCCCCTTCCCCACCCCCACCCCCACCCGAGCTAAAGGTATCTAGCCGGCCACCTGGGCGCGTGTTAATGTATGCGTGTTGTGTCCGCATCACAGTGTTCGATGATGCCAATGCAGCTCCATGGCTTCATCTTCATTTGGCTCTCTTTCGTTCGAGGAGGGCGCCAAACACAAAGTTGTGCAGCACTTTTCCGTTAAAATGTGGGCTCAAATAAAGACCGCTGTGTCAAAAAAATGCAGTAGTATTTTGCTCAAATGGCGATTTCCATTGTCGTGTTCAATCGTTTTTAATGCACGAAAGTTCTTAAATTTCAAGCTGAACTGCATGAGGGTACGGTAAGTTTCTCCGTGAACCCCAGTTTCATTCTTATTTACATTTGTGGGCTTAGAAATGCGCAGCAAATTGCATTATGTGTATTGTGCATGCACATCAATTCCATGACGTGCAATGTGCATTCCAACTTCATTTTCTTGTTGAGAAAAATACAAACAAAGTTTATGTTCTAGAAATCGAACAACGAGTATCGAGACCTCGCGGCGCCAGGGGGGCCGTAACGCCCTCCCCGCGTGTTTGAAGGATTATTTCACCGTTGAAGATCTGGAGCAAGCATCAGATATGATGAAATGAGCTTACTTATAACTATTGGTATGCCCGCAACTGGAAAAGGTTGCTCAAGACGACCCAATTTATCTGTTAACTAAATACGCTCCTCAATGCGTTACGCGTAATTATGTCATCGTACCTTGCACGATATTGGCCGGGAGCCAACTGACTGCAGTTTTATTTGGAAATCGTGTTCACGAACGCCAGATACGAGCGACTCAAAAATTATGTTTTTTTCGACCTTGATCGCTGCATGGCTAATCTAATGGCAGGATTTGAATGAAGTTATCACGGTGCTATCGATGACTGGGTGACCTTGAACAGTCTCTTCGAAAAAGAATGGACATCTTTGCGGGCATGTAGGTCAGAAACTAGGGGGCCTCAGGTCTTGAGAAGGGCAGGGTTGCACACTGCACTGAATGATGTTGAAGATTATTTTTTTCAGTTCAAAACATTATACAGATGAAGAATACTTTATGCGACGTAAATCGCACAGACCGCTGGAAATGGGATTAATGATGATGATAGATGACGACCAATGCATGCTGATACTTCAGAAAACTGTAGGCCATGCTGACGATGCACGTGACAGTCCTGCCGGCAGCGCTTCCCTCTTGTTTCATATGTTTCTCCTCCGACAGATCAGATCAGGCATCAGGGTCACGGGGTCAGGCAGACAAGGTCACAGTCACGGGATAGATCAAGGTCACACGACACCGCCAAGGTTACCAGACTGACCTTGGTCAGATAGACGCCACTGGTCTCCTTCAGGAAGGTGGGCAGCGTGGTGTTCAGCGAGTAGTAGAACCAGTTGTAGAAGAAGTAGGTTCCCACAACGATAAGCACTTGACGGTTCGTGGCTATGGCCAAGAGCGGAGTCCGCGCCGGCTTCGCCTAGAACAGCACGCAGTCAAGATGCGCCTGTGCAGAGCGGCGGTCCGTACCGATGGCACGGATGAGTGGATAGGTGGCTTCTCAAAACTGCATTTTGAAATGCGATTCTTACGCAACGTGGATCGCTTAGTCGCATGACCTTGTGAGCATGGTGAAAACCTGACAGCGCTTCACTTCATGGACATGTAGACACATATCGGCATTTCGTAGACATATACACAGGTAGAATGATGATTGCAACTAATCCAATTGACCCATGTACGTCAGGTGATGGTCAAATGTATATTCCGTGAAGGTCAGGTGATGGTCAAAAGCAAAGACGACTTCGACCGAAAAATTTATGTTGGGAATGGGGAATGTTTCTACTCTCCTTTCGAGTTACATGATGACAGAGACAGTATGAGATCTTTTGATGCCTTGAAGATAAGGCACGGTCACTGGCCTAAAATCCTTAGTCACCTTTTGCGTTCAAGAACTTACCAGCAGGGATAGTTGTTTACGCTAATTTTGGCTTAAAATCAGAACAGCCCCAATTTTTTTCGTTTTTGGCTTTCAAAGATAGAATAATGTCCCTAATCTGAAACAAACAGGAGTGACCGTTTGATTGGAACAGGTATCTAAGTTAGCGTTAGTTGCGCGAGAATGTGTGAAGGCACTCCGACACTGACCTTTGAGTTCCACTTGTTTGACCTTGCTTGCTCCAAAGGCTCTTTCCAAGAGACCGGAAAGTTTCACATATACCAGTGCACACAGTCGCCACCAAGTCACCACGCTGACCTGTTTGTCCGACATGGACTTCATGGAGGTGACCCGACACAGCCGGTGAGATGTCAGGAACTTCTTCTCGCCCTCCGAACACAGCCAACTCTCATCAGGACAGCTGGGCACCAGGAACCACGTCAGCAGCGCCCCGACTAACGGCAGAGCACCTGGCGGAGGCACCAAGAGACCGGGCTTTTGACAGCGCTCATGGAGGCGTACATACAAAGACCGGGCTACTGACAGCGTTCATGGAGGCGGACACAGAGACTGGGCTACTGACAGCGCTCACTGAGGCGGACATACAGAGACCGGGCTACTGACAGCACTCACGGATGCGTGCACAGAGACCGGGCTACTGACAGCGCTCATGGAGGTGGACACAGAGACTGGGCCACTGACAGCGCTCATGGAGGCGGACATACAGAGACCAGGCTACTGACAGCACTCCTGGACGCGTGCACAGAGACCGGGTTACTGACAGCACTCATGGAGGCGGACACAGAGACTGGGCTACTGACAGCGCTGATGGAGGCGGACATACAGAGACCGGGCTACCGACAGCGCTCATGGATGCGTCCACAGAGACCGGGATACTGGCAGCGCACCTGGCGGCGTGCGAAGAGTGCAGGGAGTGAGCGGGATGACGTAGGCTTTATCACTTGACAAGGAACACGCCCCTTGTTTGTCTCGCATCTCTAGGTCATTTGTGACCAAACGGAGGAAACGGGCCTTACTTTTTGGGGTCATTACGCTTCACACAATGTGACCAGGGGAGAGGATCTCCCTGCTCAAGTACAGCGTACACAGGGAGAGAGGGGGGTTGAAGATGACCTGAAAGGCGTAACGTAATTTATAGATGGCTCCTGAGAGATTTGCAAGGAAGTATGTCATCTAACAAACCCTGTGTAACATGTCTTGGTAATTTTAGGGTGCTATAATTCGAGCAAGAGCCTGAGGCTATATGCTCGCTTTTGGAATTACGACAGAACTGACAGAAAGTCTTGAATGCATTTCACGATTTTTTTTTTTGGGCATCTCAGATCGACGGTGTCAACGTCTTTCGGAAGTCCGGGAATACAAGGCACACAAGGCAATCTCCTAAAATGTCTCTGTGATCTTTTTCACTATTTTTGCTGCCCCAACGGGGCTTCCTGTTGGATGCACTCGAGTAAACCGCTCCTTGCACACACACTAATAAACGGCAGGGTTTCGATTTTCCGGCACACTTTCCCCAGTTTTGATCATACGCTTGCTTTTAGGCTTCCCGGGCGTCACTTCTGCGCTCGGAGGGGGCTATTCCAATTTCTCGGGCTCGGGTAACTCCGGCGGCTGCTCCGGTGGTATGAGATAAGGCTGCGCTCCCGGAATGCTACCGGAGCCAACGGTCTATTTAAGGAGAGACCATGTCCGTGAACCGTGCGCCGTGGGCGCTGGTTGGTAGAGCACGATTCTCGCTGCAGGGGTACTACCTCTACCCAGGGGTAGGGGTATTATGTCTATCCGGGGGCAGGGGTACTACCTTTATCCAGGGGCAGGGGTGCTACCTCTACCCAGGGGTAGGGGTACTATCTCTATCCAGGGGCAGGGGTACTACCTCTATCCAGGGGCAGGGGTACTACCTCTACCCAGGGGTAGGGGTACTACCTCTACTCTCACTACCCAGTTCCCGCCATCGCGCCCAGATTGGCACGCACATTAGCCAACTGCGCCACCGAGGCGTTTAAACAACGTCAAACGCTTTTCGAAGGTCCAGCAAGTATGCATTCAAAGTAATCTCCTAAAATGCCTCTGTGATTTTTTTGCAGCATATTGATGAGCATACACAGCATTAACACGTCAACGCGTCGACACCTCCCCATTAACACGTCGACAACTCCGTTGAAATCCAGGCTCTGTGTTGCTCGATATATTGTTTCTTGTCAAGAAATACCCGAGGCACGAGCCGAACGAACAACCACCGTTTTACAATAGAGCTATCAAAAGCGCGCTCAAATGAACGGTCAACATCTCACCGGGTGACGTAGAGACAAGCGGCCAGCCGCCATACTCGCACAAGGAGCTGCTGATGGGGTAGGTGAGCCCGGCTAGG